TAATGCATGAACTAGGACTGATGCATATGTACTGTCACTTAAGAAAGAAATTTGTACACACACTGCCACACCAGCAGGGGTTCAGCTGACGTGGTTTTTCAGATGTGCTTGAAGATTTAGATTTTAAAGTTGCTAGACAAAAGTTAGAGCCAAAACTGTTGTGAACAGATCCACATGCTGATTATAAAGGGTGGTGTCAGACGTATCGGTTGGTGCTCAGTGTAGTTGCAGCGACTCTCCTCTCCTCCTCCTGCGTGGTAAACTTCCTGCTTTCAGCCTAACCAGTCAAACAAGGCGATTAGATAGTTAAGTAATGGAGTGAAGACAGAGAGAGAGAGAGCAGGAGTGTGTTTGTGTGTGTTTGGGTGTGTGTGAAACACAGGAGAGACAGTGAAGATGATCAATATGTCACTGACTTGGACGACACACTGGACGTGTGCGTGAGTTATGGCCCAGGTTTTAAATCACTTCCATGTTCTGATCTGTGTCTGCTTTCCTAAACATTTCTCATGAATGAGTGATTTCCATGCACCACAGGACTGTGTGTGTGTGCGTGTGTGTGTGTGAATGGGTGTGTGTATATGTGTGAGAGAGAGAGAATGTGTGTGTGTATATGCGGGTGCGCGCGTGCGCGTGCATGTGTGTGTGAAAACAAGGTAAGGAAACACTGGGGGCAATGCCTGCCTCATCAAGTTATTCACTATATTTTTTTTTCTTTTTTTCCCTCCCTCCCTCTCTCACCCATCTTTTTCAGTCCAGAGAACAGAGAGGAAATTCAAATCAAAATTACCCATGTGCCCTTGTGCCTGAGAAACTTGCCCTCTGCTTGCCTCCAGATATGCGGAGGGAAAGGTCACACCGCAGCACATGGGTGGAGATTGGGGGAGATAGGGGGGTTTAGGGATTCTTTCATAACCCCTCCCCCATCCACCAGGGCAGGGGATAGTTCATGCGCAGCTCTCTTCTTTCCAATAGATCAGTTGTAGTAAATGGATGGTTACGTTCACAAGTTGTGTTAATGGGCAACATTAAAGAACAATGCACCGAGAAGTTGAAATGCTTGGTTAATATTCCTTCTCCCAGTCGTCTGCCCCATGGGCCCTGTTGTTGCCCCTGTTGTTGCCCCTGTTGTTAGTTTTGTTTTTGTTTTGGTGTCCATGAACTATTGCAAATATAGTGTTTTAGTATTATTAGTGTTTATTAGTGTAATATTATTTTTTTCTGGGGTATTTTACAATCATCAACAAGTAGCTCTTCTGGCTGAAACCTAACATTTTCCTCAGCCTTTTTTTTTAAATATCACACTACTGTTTCTCTCTTTCATCTTTTAAAATCCGATCTCTCTCCCCCTCAGTGTTTTGTTTTGTGGAGTTTTTTTGTGCTGACAAAGACGCTGCAGTGGTTTTTGGTCGGTGGTTGTTATGCAGAAAGAATCTGACCTGATGTCACACCCTGTCTTCGCAGCCACAGCCTTTTGGGTGTTTGTGTCAGCGGGCAGCGTCTTCTCATTGGTGCGTTTGTTTGTAAAGAAGACGGGGCCTTGGCCTCAGGATCAGAGGGTCAAAGGTGAGGTGTCATCATGGAAGTGTGGAGCTCGGGATAGAAAAAGAGGGCAGATGCCTGATGCTCGGGATTCTGGGTCCTGGGAAATCAAGGTGACAGCTCTGAGGAACTTTCACCTCAACAAAGGAGTTGTTTTTTGTTTTTTTTGTGTGTTTAAAATAACCTGGTTTTGTAGTGTTCGTAATATAAAGACCGCCATGAATGACAAGGGAACTGTTGTAATTTATCCAGAGTGAGTTGAAACTGCTGCTTAGCTTCCCACTATACAACAAAGAAGACTGAGACTACGGTCAGCCATACCAAGCACAAACGGCATTTTTTTTTTTTTTAAATCTACTCATTTTACATTCAAATATTTATTTCAATATTAAAGTTTTTAGTAGTAGTAGTAGTTTTTGTAACAAGTTAGGCAACATTTCTGTCCTTTTTAATCATAAATAATGTTAATGTTTTGTAACATAATTGATGGACTTAAGCCTAACCTGTTTTATGAAATACTTTTGATATAAAGTAATTTTTCTTAATTAATTGTTCCTTTGGTAAAACATTTTTGCAACAATAGTAATTTGTTCTGTGTTATTATTACTTTATAATAAGAACAATCTCTAACCAAGTGTTATAAGTGTAAAATAAAAATTCGATTTCAAATAGCCTGAACATGGGAACCACGGGAATATAGTTTATACTGTGAGTGTGTGTTAGTGTGTCTGTGTGTGTCAGCAGACATTAATTGAGGACGTGCTGCACCGACACAGAAGTGAGACTTGGATTTTCAGTCATATGTCTGACGTGTTTGTGTTTGTTTAAACATCTTCTCCGTTTGGAAATTTACTTCAGAACCCTTAGGTGCAGTTGGATGTTACCGCTCTGTTGAATTTGTCTTTATTAACATTATCATCCATTTCCATGCTGTGCTCCTGTTGCTCTCTTCATCTTAAAGGCAGTTGGTGAGGTTTCACCCCCGGATACGAGTCGATAAACAGCTGTAACGCGACAGGTCTTTACAGTTGACTAAGGAAAGAACGATTCTGTCTTTTGTAAAATGTCACAGCGAATTTTCTTGTTGCTCTGCTGTGGTGCGGAATTTCACGCTGAAGCTTTTAAATCAGGACTCAACGTGAACAGTGGATATTGCTCAGGAGAAAAAAGCCAAAGCTAATAATAAATATTTTAAATTTAATTTTTAAATAGCCATTTGTCCTGAACCATAATTCATTTTTATTATGCTACCTGAACTGAAATCTTGTGTGACAGTTGCAACTTCAACATGTCAACATCATAATCTGCGCACAACTAGCAGTTAGCGCCTGTTAGCAAACTGCTCTGCTCCTCAAGCTAGCATGTAGCTAGCTAGCGCAAAATGGTCAGGTTTTTGACAAGAAACAGACCAAAGGAGTGGACAAACACATTTTCTTATGCTGAAAAAATACAATAATTTTAGAATAGTGAATAAAAATGAGAGAATGCATTCTAAAAGTTGATGTTTCTTTACATATTTTGTAGCCTTGGCTGTGGTTTTGCCAATTGGGTCCCTGGCCAGAAACTAATGCCGTTTTGGCAGGGGTATGAAATTGTCTGGGAACCCCTACTGTAGAAAATGGCCTTGCACACAAATGGTGACACCATACTGGTTTTCAGCAGACCCTTATTTTTTTTTATTTTTCCTCCTTAGACCTGGTTTTAAGTGATCTTTTCTAGCTGTTGTGGTGTGTTTGTGTGAACATGGCTGTATGTGTGAAAGTGTTGCAGCAGCAGCAGCGGTGGTGGAGATGTTGGTGTTGGTGTCTGTGGTTGGTTGATGTCAGCTCTCCACATGTCCAGCAGCAGCTCAGGGTGAAATCGCTTTGTTGACTGTTCAGGCAGCTGCAGACCCTGCTGGGTCTGGATACAACAAGCTGCTAATGCCACAGCCGGAGGGCAGTGGCAGCAGCAGCAGCAGCAGTACTAGGTGAAGGGGAATGTGATGGCTACAGAGTTGGGGGTTTGATGCTACGAGGGGGTGAGAATCCTCCACGCTGAGTTGTTTGACTGACTAACCCTGTGGCAAATGTTAAGTCTTTGTGTCACCAACAGCAGAATCAGTTATTATACCACACTGGTCCTGCACTCTATTTGTTTCCCTCAGTAATATTGATGTGTACTATTGGATTAAACTATAGTGAAAAACCAATCAGTACCACAGGGACTGGAACTGTTTATTTGTAAATTTTGCAAAAAAAAAAATTTTTTTTACATTTAATGTATATATATGTATATTTTGTGATCATGACTCACAAAGACTCGATCTAGTCTTTGTGAGAAAACAATGACACATGCTCTTATAGTTATACTGGCAGCAGGATATGGCTGAATGATTTGACAAGCATGTTCATCTAACAGACTAATACGTGTCTGTGAAGGCATCGATGTGAAGGTACTGTGTAGAGTATATGTCTTTCTGTAGTGTGGATATGGTCCACATAAATATATAAAAGTAAAAAGGACGATAAGAAAAGCAACCTGGTGATCAGCTCACTGACCTTTGACCTATCATCTGAACCTCCAACAGGCTCTTCTCTGTCAGAGATCAGAGATCATCCTCTCCTCTCCACTGTTGTCCATAGAGCAGAACTTGGTCTCACGTATGTATAGTTTGTTTTGCAAATAGAAACAATACCCCATAAATTCACACATACTTGGGAGAGCAGATGGGGGAGGGAGGTATTTATTTTCTGTCAATAAGCTCTCCTAGATCTCCTAAATTTTACACGCTCTACTTTTAATGTGACATAAAATCAGCCTGGCCGTCAGTTTCCTGGACGTCTGCTGTGATCATTTTATTAAAAGGTACTGTGTATTTGGTGACCTGTGAGTTTTAGACACCACAGCCTGGTCATTACTATGGTAAACTGGGTCAAACAGGGTCATGGGTCAGGTTTGTTTTTGCCCTTTGACCCCTCTGACTGGAGGTCATATAAGGGTAGATTTGCACGGCTGAGAGAGCTAATGTTCCTGTGTGTGTTTCTGCACATTAGTTTGTGTGCGTGTGCGCATTTGTGTGTGTCACCAGAGGAAGACCTCTTGTGCTCTGAAGCCTATATTTTTAGGTTATATTCACCAGGTGGAAGCTGGCGAAAGTGGGACTGTAGTGATGTGGAGGTGGAGTGTTAACTGGATTTTCACAGTGCAGACTTGGAGTGGGATGTGACAAAATCACTGGAGTTAGGATATAATATAAAGTGTTTATTATTCTTTTGGATCAGACTCAGGAAAAACAGTGACTCGTTTTTTTTTTTCTTAACACATTTACAAAATATGTTTCTGTATTTCTCTAAGGTGCGAGTATTGCATTTTATGCCGCACACTTTTACTTATTATTGTTATTATTATTATTAATAATGTTTATGTTATTGCAAACCAGCCTTGAATTGAACCATGTCCTTTTCGTTTGTTTGCAGAATCAGAGCAGGGTCAGAATAAGAATGGAGCAGCAGCCACAGGAGCCAATGGAGGTGGAGGAGGAAACAGTGGAGGAAACCACCTGCAGTGCCTCTCTGTCCACTGCACAGACGAGCTGGGGGACAGTAAGGGCCGAGGAGGCTCCGTCTCCTCGTGGCGCTCCCTCCACTCTGACATCTCTAACAGATTTGGGACGTTTGTGGCTGCACTGACTTAAACTCTGGAAACAAACAAACTGAAAAAACAACAAGAAGGAGAAAAGGTCATGAAATGAAGAAGGAACAAAAGACAGAGAGACATAAAAACAGGACTACTATGATGATGAGAAGGAGGATGACGATGATGATGAGGATGATGATGGCAAGGATGGGGATGAGGAAGCCTATCTGTGTGCCTGTTCAGGGAGAGAAAGACGCCCAGAAATGCAAGCAAACAAAGAGACACACTCACAGTAAAGACAAAAACACTCGTGCAAATAAATAATCATTTTGACACATGAACTCTCAGACCCTCACAGACACTCTTTGATCCTCACACACATTAATTCACACAGAAACACACAATCTCTCTCACACACACACACACACACACACACTGCTGGGCAACATACAAAACCCGGGCTCGACTCACTGATGCCCCTTACAAACCTCAACTCAATAATTATTCTTTATAATTTTTTTTATTTTTTTGCGTTGAAGAACGAGAACGAAAGAAAAAGCCTGAAACGATAACAAGCAGAAGAGAAGCTGCAACTTAGCTCTAAGGTGGACACAGTGTGCCGTCCACCAACGTAACTGTCAAAAATGTGCTTGTTTTAGTTTCAAGTGACTCTAGAGCCAGTGAGAGGCAGACCTCGGGTACAGCTTGACTAACTCATGTTTTCATTTAAAAAACATGCTTCAGACACATCCACAGTCACACTTTTATTTCCAAAACTTCATGCTAATCTTGAGGATTTGAAACTGAGCAACTGAGTAACAAAAACCAAAACAGTGATCAAAAAGGGACTCACTCCAGCGTCTGAAGTGATTTTGTGTCGAAACAGAGAAACTGTTCCAAAAACCAGACCCATTTTCTTTGGACTGTGAAAAATTCTTATTATTGTGAAGATCTGATGTTAAGCCTAAACCAACCGACCAATGTAAACTGTTTTTACCATGAACAGTTCCAACAAATGTTGTTGTCAGTATATACTATAATACCTAAGGTCAAACACACACTGCCTTGGCTAACAAAGGACCAGCTGGGGGTTAGACCTGGCTGGAGTGTGATCTACATTATAGATATAAGTTGAAGACCTAGTCTAGACCAACAGGGTCTTCTTGTTACCTGGTCTAACAACGCAGTGCTCTGGAAAAGTTTGACTTGTTGCCCACAGTCTGATCATTCAAATGTAGTCGTGTGGATGAAGAGATTTTTTTATTTTCCATGTTAAATTTTTCCCCAGTTTGAACAAACAAATTGTTTTCTCAAATCATTTTCTTGTCTAATCATTTTCTTCGAATTCTCTCTTTTGTTAAAACGGCCATAATTGTTGTTTCTCTTCTCAGCTAGACCACTTGTGAAAAATTCATCCAACAGGAAGTGGAATCAGAGGTGGAGGGAAGGTTTAATACGGGGATTAAGGGAAAAGAGACTATTGTTATTGCACATGTATAATAAGAGAAACTTTGCTGTGTGTTAGGCAATCTTGTAATCTTTAAATAAAGCTTCGGTTGAATTTGAATTTCTGAAACAGTAGGAGGAGGACTATGATGGCAACAACTGAGTTTTGTTTTCTTTCTTTTCTTTTTTAATAATATGTAAAGTGCAGTTGTCTGTTTTCCTGCATATTGTATATATCTGTATATGTTTTATTGAGTAACTAAATAACAATAAATATGATGTTAAAGGTGACGGTGAGTTTTGTCTTTTGTATCTGGTTTCTGCTAAGCTGTTAGTCTAGAACAGGGGTTGGGAACCTATGGCTTGCGAGCACACACGTCTCGCGCTGAAAATATGAAATAAGTAAAAGTACAGTTAATGATAAAATAAAAACAATAAAATTAATTAAGAACAGACCTCCTAAAGTGTGCACCTACCATAAGGACAGCAGAGCATAACTGCAGCTCCCCAGGATTCATGACTAATCAGCAGGGGTGTTGCACTAGATGACCATACGCCTTATTGAGATTTTTCTTACAAGGTGTGTAATGAACTGTTTTGTATGGCAAGTGGAACCATATATTTATAACCCTGTTACACATTTTAATCTGTACATTATTTGTTTGCGCTGGTGGAAAACCATGCAGCACCAGAAGTCGCACTAATGTTCAGTAGTATTTTATGTGTTGGATAGAATAACAACATTATTCATCTTTTAAATCACTTTTTAATTTCAGAGACTTATTATGCTTTTAAATTATTGATCTCGTTTAAAAATTCACACATTTAGCTGTAAATGGAGTCAAAAAAATATTGTGTGGCTTTCATGGAAATATATTTTAAAATATGTGACTTTTTTGGCTCGCTCTGCTAAAAGGTTCCCAACCCCTGGTCTAGAAATTAGCAAAGAAATGTTAGATGACGTTAGGGATATTGGGTCACGCTCAGTCACAGCTAATGTGCAATCGCTTGGTAAATTGTTTTAAATCACTTAATAGTCACTGGTATAAATGATGGTATAAATGATTCCAAACCCAATTTAACCTGTAAAAGAGTAAATTCATATTCTTACCTCAAACATTTGCATTTTCTTTTTAATAAGACATCGTGCCTTAGTGCTGTTTTTCTCATCAACCCTGTTTTTGCCTGGAGCACAGTCTCTACACACACACACGCATGCACACACACACACACGTCCCTCCTTGCTCTCCCCAGGCTCTCTTTGGCTCCTCTGCTCTTTATTGGCCATCTGCATGGATGCTTAATGCTAATCAATAACTCCCCTGTGTGCCAACTCTGAGGTGGAGACGTCAATGCTTCCTAACAGGCCTAGTGATCAACCTACAGCACTGCTGTCCAGGAGACGTACACACGCACGCACACATACACAGAGTTGGCGCTCCCTGCAGGACTCTGTTATTTAGATGTGCAGTGCTGCCTGCTGTGTCGGAATGCAGCTCCTGGTGGGAATGTGATGCACAGAGAGGAGAGCCGTGAGCACAAAGAGGAGAGAGAGAGAGAGAGAGAGAGAGTATCTGTGAGTGTACATGGGACTGTCACCTCACCTGAGATCCCTGGTTTAAAAGGTAGAACTAGGCAGAGATGGGATCAAGTCATTGTTATGCAAGTCACAAGTAGGTCTCAAGTCTTCCACTTAATTCCTGAGTTGAGTGCTAGTCAAAACTGGCAAGTCACAAGTCAAGTCTTAAGTAAGGTTCAAAGTCCTGCAGCTTCAGTTTCAGTCTTTTTTTTTACCTTAGAGTAATATTTATCTACACAGATCATGTATGTTTTTAAAACCTGTATTTATTCATTAAAAAAAAAGTGTAAATCCAATTTTAGGAAAAAATAGGGCTCTAGCTTTTTTCCCCCCTCGAGACCTTCTAGAAGATGAACCAGGCCTGTATCGATGGTTCCCCACTCCTTCTTCTGGCAGTATTTGGGCCACAGGACTTCCTCTCAACCACTGACCGAGGCTGGATGGGTTCTAGGCTCATGTCCTTTTGGTGGAGTTGTGCCTGGCTGAGCATGAATTGCACTGAAACTCCTCTTTATTAATTATATTGGTAATATCAATCTTAAGATTGTGTTAAAATAAATGTATAGGACTGCTAAACAAGATTAATTGCAGTCACCATCAGAGGCAAAACATATTCAAGCCCCCCTAAAGTCACTAGGTGGCAGCAACTCATACATTGGTTTGTACAGATGAGAAAATACATATTATAAGGTTGTCAATAGTATTTTAAGGGGGGGTTAAAAATATTTTTTCATTTTTTCTTAAAAATGTATATTTTTTTCTACTCATTTCTCCTCAAATTAGAGCATTTTAAGAAAAAACATATTTTTTATCATTATCATAATCTTTTATAATTTTTGGTCAGATTTTGAGAAATGATTTTTTATATTTTTTTCTGCATGTTTCTTATCAAATTAAAGCATTTCAAATGTTTTTTAGAAAAACGTTTTTTTGGAATTTTTGGGCAAAATCCTAATTTCACATGTTGGTCAGAAGTTGGAAAATTTGAAAAAATAGAGTTTGAAACATTTTTTGGAAAGAAAAATTCAGAATTTTTCAGCAATCCCATATTTTTGGTCAGATGTTAAAAATCCTTGACGAGAACTTTTGATTTTTTAAAAAAAATTTGATCTTTTCTTCATGCATGTTTTTTGCAACATTTTTCGGTAAAACCCTTGTTTTGGTCAGATGTTGAAAAATTTTGAAAAACTGATTTTTTTTTCATTTTTAAAAAAAAATGTTATCTTTTCTCATCAAAATATAGCATAAAAAAGTCAAAAGCTAAAAGTTAAAAAACTTTCATGAAAACCTTTTTAAAAAATAAATCAAAATGTTACGTTTTCTGCATGTTTCTCATCAAATTAAAGCATTTTGAAAAATTTTTGAAAGTTTTTTTTTTAGAATCTTAGAATCTGTAAAATCTTAATTTCATGTGGTCAGTTGGTAAAAAATTATGATGAAATTTTTTGAAAAAGAACATTCCAAATTTTATCTTTTCTGCATGTTTCTCATAAAATTAGAATATTAAAAAAATTGTTTAGAAAAAACAATTTTGAAACCTTTTGGTAAAATCCTCTTTTGTTGTCATGTGGTTAGTTGGTGAAAATTGCTGAAAATTTTTATCAACATTTTAAAAAAACAAATCAAAATTCTAACTTTTCTGTATCTCTGTGTTAAAATAAGAGCATTTTGAGAAATTGTTGAAACTTTTTTTAATGGAATTTCTAGGTAAAACTAATTTCAACATAATTTCATTTAGGTTGGTCAGAGGGTGAAAAATTATGATGGTGATGTTTGGAAAAGAATATTCTAAATTTTGTCTTTTCTGCATATTTCTCATCATATTACAGCATTTAGAGATTTTTTTTTTAATTTTTTCTTTTTTAAGTTTTTCAGTAAAATCCTAATTCCGTGTGTCATCTGATCAGATGATCAGATATAATTGTAATGAACTATTGTAATGTAACTTTTTGGAAAAGAAATTTAAAATGTTATAATTTCAGCGTGTTTTCTTATTTTTTGAAATTTTATAGTAAATTCCTAATTTTGTCATTTTTTTCAGATATTGAAAAAACGTTTTTTCAAAACTATAATTTGAATGTTATTTTTGGTCAGATGTTGAAACATTAAGTCTTCCCCTTGTTGATTAAATTTTGACAAATCTTTCAAATGATAAAAGATATTCAGCACATATTTTTCAACAGCTAACCAAAAACTATGATGAATTGTTTGGCATTTTTTTTATTTTGAGTCAAGTCACTAACTCTGTGTTAAGTCGTGTCCAAAATCATCAAATTCATGACTCGAATTTGACTCGAGTTGGAATTATGTGACTTAAGGTCCACACCTCTGGCAATTGGGAATAGAATGAGAAGAGTTTGAAAATATTAGCTCAAGAGACTTTTTTCCTCACTAAAACCAAACCAAAAACCTGGCTGTTTGTGAAAATTCTTGTTCCTTTCCAATTCTTATTTTTGTAGCTTTGTGTTAGAAAGAACACGATCCTCACACAAATATCTGCAGCATTCGCTCTTTCTGACATGACACAATTTGCCCTTCTATTGCTGTCAAAGTATTTATTGTGCAAAAGGGCATTGAACTCTCACTGATGACACAGGTTTGACTGGTATTTAAGCAGCAGCAGCAGTGACACAACAGAGTTATGGATCAAAAGCTTTGTCATTTTTTGAGGGCTGGGTCAGGTTTTCAGTTCAAGTGCTTCTTCTATTGTTGGCTAATTCTCCCACTAAGCTTTGTGCTTTGTGTTTGTTCATGCCAAGGTGTTACATTTAGTCCAACAGTCACTACTTTGTGTTAATGCCAGGAGACTTGAGTGTTGTTGCTGACGACATGTTACCTGTCTGTCTGGTTCAGCTGTCCTGTGTTAGCCTGTGCAGACAGGTTTCTGGAGTACACACATAATACACGCAGGCACACACACACTTCACTTAAGTATAGACAAGGAATTAATGAAACCTAACGCAGCATAGTGTTCAATTCTGTAAATGTTTTAGAAGAGAAAAACTGATTGGTTGAGGGCGGTGTAATATGAATATCTGATAATAATATTGCAAAGGAGGCCGATATTTTTAATTTTCACTCTTGTTTTTGCTGTCGCCCGTTCAATCTGCTCAGAGCAGCAGTAGTAGCCGAGCCTAGTGCAGTTCCCGCCCCTCCCCACACACAGAATATCACTCCTGCCAGTTAGCAATGCTAACATGAGCAAGTTTAAGGTGGGTACAAACTGTTACCTTTAAAATGTTTGTAATAACTCTGAAAACAAAAATGTTTGTCCTTTTTTTCTGGGTTAGGTCTGTGAAAATGTACTTATGAACCAAAGGGAGGCCCAGAAAGTTTGCAAACCACTGCCTTATCCTAACCTAGATTATTACAAAAAATATGTTTAATCAGACTTTGTTGTTTCTACTCCTCACTTCAAATAACAAAACTGCACTTCAAAATACCATATCACAGAGTGAGGCCCTCGGTTCCTTCTGTGCACAGCAGCCATATTGGGAAGAAAAACACTCAGTGGTTGCCTGAGAAATTGTGTGTTTCCCAGCCAACGTACATCCAAAGAATAACAATTTCACTAGCCATGAAGAGCATCCATGGAGCCACGGGGGCCATGGCTTGAGAGAGTCCGGGCCAAACACTGTCCTCTCAGGCAGCTTTTGAATGCACTCCTATAAATATATCTCCCTTTTTTTTTATAGAGGCGATATACATCTTT